CGCGGTCTATATCGTCTTCATCTCTCAACACATTCCCCTATCATCATTATCATGAAGCTAACCACGATCAGATCGTATGGTAGGGTCGGAGCCCTACTCATTACCAACCCTTGATCATGTAGGAGATGCTATCCGATGAGTTTCCGGAGCCTACTAAGCATCCGATACGGAGATGGTGGATTGGATCAGGTCGGCCTCGACTGTCACAAAGAAGAGAGATGTAGATGAATATGCGCACCTCATGTGGTTCCAGTGACTAGGCCTTGCCTCGCTGGAGCTGCAGGTTTTTTGAGACTTTTTCCCGCGCACGCAGTTTCCATTGCTACCTTTTTATTTTTTATTTTTTTTTTGGGTAGAAGGTTCCGTGGAAAAGGTGGCTGAATTCCACGGGTAAATACTGAGCTGAATGGCTATTCATCAAGGGGAATATATCAATGATCTTTCAAATAACAAAAGAGGATAGTAGCACTAAACAAGGCTAGGCTTGGGTCAGAGAGGAGCCCAATGTGCTAAATAGTCATAGACTCAAGTAGTACAATAAACAAAACACACGTAACAAGTGTTGATATGACTGCAGAAGCTCGCAAGATGAACTTGGTTGAAGGATGTCTTCAAGGCAAAATCGTGACAATAAAGCAAATAAGTTTTCATGGAAACACTAGATAAGTTTTATCCAGCCTGCTGCCAGTATTCGAGGTGTAGATGTTTGTTTTCTTTAGGGTTGCGCTGTCGTCAAATCTCTGCAGGTCAAGTTTTCGATCAGACTTTTGAACGCCACTTCTCCCGACCGCCATCTTGACAGAAACTTTTACATACATTCCTTTCTATGGCAAAATATTTGTCCTAGAAGAAAATTTCAATTCCAGATCCGTACAGGACGCCATTGATAGATAATCGGCCTTAGTACATCATGTATAATACTCGCGCTTTGGCTTACTCAACTTTATTGACAAGCCAGTCACCCAACTAATGAGAATTGGATGTACATTGAAGCCACTTGCTTCATTCAACAAGCTGGAGGAGCAGAATACCATCTGGACACCTCCATGGCACCGAACTCAGATTCCAACGAGCATTTCTTCTGAGACAAAAGAGATCACTAAGTTGTGGCACTTACAGCAACTCAAGCATATCCCAATTGAAGATGTCATAGTCTATACAGATGGCTCACTTTCAGACACAGGAAGCAGCATTGGCTTTGTGGTATACTTTCCAATCAGCAGAGAGATCAAATGTTTCTCATATCACCTTGGTGACACTATGGGTATCACAGATGCTGAGACTTACTGCCTATTGAAAGCAACTCAATATGTGAAGAGACATTTTTCAACTAAGACAATATACATTTTCACTGATAGCCAGGCTAGCATCCTTCGGATCCAACACAGCAGTAACCACTTTTCACATCAGATCAGGATGGCATCTCAAGGATGCACCATTCATCTTCAATGGTGTCCTGCACATGTTGGTATAGAAGGAAATGAACTAGCAGACAATCTAGCCAAAAATGGAATTAAAAAACAAGCAATGAGAAGGGACAAGTTTATAACTCATTCATTTATGAAACAAAAATCAAAAGAGCTGGTACGAGAAGAATGGAATAAAGACTGGAACCTCGAGCTTTGGCATGAGGAAGAGGGCCGGAAAGCAAAGGGACTGGGCAAGTACTACAGGATCCAGGCACAAACTAACCAACCCAGCTTTACATTCAAGTTATTTAAATTTCAAGATCATAGCAGGGAGACAGAGTCAGGATTTTTCCAAGCTAGGCTTGGAATTGGAAATACTCGAGTATATTTGCACATGCTAGGAAAAGTTGAAGATGACATATGCAATTTTTGTTCAAAACAAAGGCAGACTGTGCAGCATTCCTTGTTACATTGTCCAAAATTTAAAAACCAAAGAAACAGATGTTTTAAGGACATAGAACCAAGAACCCTACCTATATTATTTCGAACAAGAAGAGGAAAAGAAGCACTTCTTAAATATTTGGACACATCCAAGTGCATGGCAGCACATAAAGGGAGTTGAACTAGGATAACTAAATTGGGAATTTAAAAAGTATTATGAAGATTGTATTTCAGAAAGGAGTTTTGGGGAATTTAATTATGTAAATAACGTGTCATAGCTAGATAGCTGAATACACTATGAAAAAAAAAAAATAAAAAAAAAAAATACTCGCGCTGTTTGACCGGATAATCACATGGTCAGAATCCTCGCATTAGTCACATTAGATAGCCCATCTCTCCGAGTTTTGTGCATCTAGATTATGTAACCAGCAAGATATGGAATCGCCATCTATTTTCAAGTAAAGATTAAGCTCTGTGGCGCAATGTATATCAGTTCCTTTGTAGGGTTAAATAAATCAGATATATGGTTAGTGTGTCATATGATTTTAGAAGTATGAAGGGACTAATCACATTAGCTATTCGCATGAAAGTGTGTCGTAAATTAATTTATATTTTGTATAAAAAAAGAAGTACTACGAAGACTACATGCTAGTCTACTCGATTCCGCGCGTCGCGTATGGATTTATGCAGGAGTTATCCTTTACACAACTCCTTAATCCAGCCAAGCCATGTACTCTAAGACTTCTCGATAAATAACCCGGATAAACTCCGGTTTTAACTAAACAAGGCGCTAGCCTGTAACAAGAAGTCCTCCATTGCCATTGACTCAGATAGGACTATAAAAAAAATATTATCTAATTCACATTAGTTCCTGTATATGGAAATCGTCTGATTTTAGGACTATGAATTTCTCGAACTGCGGATACCGGTCTCGAACCCTGCCGCGGACCTAATTCCATTTCGTCATCAAGTTGAACTCCACCCACATCAACGTCTCACATAATATTCTCTTGAGGAAACATTCCATCTCATCATTTAGAATATTTGATTCGAGATAATTTTACTCATTAACATGTCTACGAACATGGCTATTGTTGTAGAGAAGCCAGGATTAGCTGTCAAAGCCGAAGTCCCGAGGCCCAGGCTACGCGATGAGTACATCCTCGTGCGTGTCCAAGCTGTTGCCTTGAACCCGACAGATTGGAAACACGTTGACTTCCTCACTAGTAAGGGTGCTCTTGTAGGTTTATATCCCACGCCTTTTTGCAGAGGATTGGCTCACAAATGTACTGAAGATCGGCTGCGACTATGCTGGAATTGTTGAGGAAATTGGGAGTGCAGTGACGAAACGTTTTCAAGTAGGAGATACTATCTGTGGATTTGTCCATGGTGGCAATGAAGTCCAGCATGAAGATGGTGCCTTTGCAAATTATATACTCGCCAAAGGTGATCTACAGATCCGAATTCCATCCACCCTAAAGGTTGAGGAAGCCTCTACTCTTGGGGTTGGCATTACAACCGTCGGCCAGGCTCTATACCAGTCACTAGGCTTGCCTTTGCCGGTGCTCTCCGACATGGCATTCCAAAGCGGTGAAGGAGAAACAACAAAGCAGACAATTCTTATCTACGGTGGTAGCACCGCCACTGGAGCTTTAGCCATTCAATTCGCCAAGTTATCTGGCCTCCGAGTTGTCACCACATCATCACCTAAAAACTTCGATTACTTAAAATCGCTAGGCGCCACGGCTGTTTTTGATTACAATTTATCCAGCTGTTCCAGTGATATTCGGACAGCATATCCCGATATATATCTGGCACTAGATTGTATTTCAGCTGGTAAATCATCTACTATCACGGTCGGCGCTATGTCACGAGTGACGCCCGGTTATTACACCTCATTACTTCCAGTCTCTAAGGATGCCCTAAAGACCATAAATAACACTGTACAAATCAAGAGTACGATGGCATACACAGCACTCGGCGAGCACTTCACGATTGGTCCGAAAATATTTGAGGCTAATTCAGAAGATTTGGAGTTCGGACGTCGATTTTGGGAGCTAGCCGCAGCTTTACTCGAGAGCAAGCAGATACAGATTCATAAGCCAGGTATCAACAAGTATGGAGATGGCTTCGAGGGCATTCTCAATGGCCTACAAGCAATGAGAGAGGGCAAGGTTAGCGCTGAAAAGCTTGTTGTTACTCTATGAATAAATCAAACTTGAGACATAAATTAGACAGACTAAGTCTACAAAGACCAATTCGGGATAGAATTAATTACATTGCTCTTGAAAAACTGCTAATGTGCCCCGTAGTATCCCTGCAGCCATTCACCAAAACTAAACGCCTGACATAACCAACAACTTAAAACTAGATACAGAAGCATTAAAACCTCGATTACTGATACTGTTTAGTTATCCTAGTTATTTCCAGCTAGGTAGGCCGCTGAGACTTTGGATATTTGAGTCTTCCTGATGTATTTTGAGTCGAGGACCAGATACGTGAAATGTGAAACTTCCTCCCTATAATATCTAGCACGATCGGCACCGCTTACTGAACCCGTTTCTGATGGTTGATTCAACTTGTAAATGCCATGTACATGAAGTGTATCAATGAAGTAAGAAATCCAGCTTCTTGGCTCTGTCTTGAACACCGGTAACCATAGAGAATCGGGTCCATGATGACCAACCAAATTCAACTTACTCTCAATATTTTCATGAAAACTTTGATTAATATCTAGACTCGACATGCGTTTCGTCCAATGCTATGACGTAAGCAGCAGCACATGATCCATAAACAGGTAAATACATTATGGAAGATAAAATTCTTTTATAGCTGAATGAGGCCACATCGCATCGAAATTTGGGAATCTGATCAAAACGATTAATTTGGCTAGTGATTGTTAGACAAGCCACTAGAACTGTAAAGAAATTTATATTGCCAAACTTTATCGGTTGGACTTTTGCGGCTCTCAAGTCCTGATAAATACTTAGTTCTTTTGCAAGTACATCAATTCGTATCAATCATAGAAACTTATCATCCTCAAATTTCAGATAAAAATTCTTGTCCTCGTAATCCATCTTCGTTAGATGCTTTCATCACAAAGGTAGCACGGTGATATCTTAAACCTTAGCTCTAGCGAATCAATAAAATTTATATCCTTGAATAGTTTTGCCTGAGAGGTCGGATCTGGTGACTTGAGGAAACTGTAGATCTCGTAGGTATCGTTGAGCCTCTAAGCACGTCGTCGCAACGTGTCGACATGTTTCGGTAAACAGCTATACGTCGAGGTCTTAAGATCACGTCGGTCCTGCTGGAATCTGGCAAATGTAAATCACTCACATGATTATTGATAAGAGTTTCCTGATGTTCGGCAAACATTATACTAATTCGAGGATCATATCGCCGGTTGTAACGGACTGAACTATTTTGCCTTATATGACGTCGAGTAGGAGGTTGAATTGAATCATCAGACTCCTCTTCTAGATCATGAATCTCATTTGCAGCACCTATATTTTCGCCTCTGATGCTAGAATCAAAATTATTATCATCTGATGCACCACATCGTAGATCTGTATTTCCACGAGTTGTTGTCTGATGAAAAGCATCTCTTCCTGAGTTGTCCCTGGTTCTACGCGCACCTGAAACACGATCTATTGAGCTAGTTGGTTGATGGGTAGCACGCATTTGGTGACCTGAAGCAGGATGTCTTCGGTTAGTCCTACTAGCACTGTAGAGCGACCCACGACGTGATTGAACGTTTGCAATATGATGCGTTGATATTTGTCTTGCTCGCCGAGTATGCTCCCTACGAAAGGTTTCATCAAAGGGAGGGCTACTACTTCTATCACTCGTAAGATGCTCTGAATCGTGCCCAAATATTCTATGCCGAGCAGGCGCCTGGTTTTCTGTGGAGGGAAACGTTTCTCGATCAATTTCTTCTTGTAAGAAGTGTGACCCCGAGACGCAGGAGCTAGCGCTTCGGCTATTTTGTGACATTTGTGGAGATATATTCATGTTTGTGTCACCATCTCTGTCCATAAGATTTGAATCGATTGAATCGGAGTCATCGTCCGAAACATTTGAAAATCCAAAACTACGAGAAATTGATCGATTATTGGGCGAGCGGTAAGTCGGAGTTTCTGAATTATTGCTCTCATCTTGCCTAGAACGATTATTATCATTGAACCTTTCATCGTCGACTAATTTTTCGGTATTTGTTTCACTATCACTATCGACTTCATAACCTGCAACATGATTGTTCTCAAATCGAGAGAAATCTTGGCTATCGTTCTCGCTGTCATTACTGTAGTCCAATGGACTCCAGCCAGCGTATCTTAAGAGTTCCGCTTCGCTGCCATGATCGCCCATATCGGACTCAACATTGCTCAAATCAGTAACTGTCATGACTGATGCGACAGGACTTAGAGAAGGATTGTTTTCAGCAAAGGATATATTACGCCTCTGTCGTTGACGACGGTTAGATATTGCTCCTCCCTCGTCGGAGTCATCGTCAGATATAGTAATTGTTTCGCCCCGACGAAATCTCTGAGATTGACCTGTAAACTGAACATCAGGGTCTTGTGCTATGTCTGATGCATGGTATGATTGGGTGTTATCATTTTCTATTTCATCATCTGGAGCAATAAAATCTTGTAGAGAGCTTCCATCATCATCTTCGTCGGTCCCAGAATTGCTAGAAGAATCTGATGCAGAAAGCTCTGAAGCCTCACTCTCAGTATCTTCGATAATTCCATCGTCGGTTAAGTTTGAACCAATAACGGCCTGTCCCGGATGTAGATCCCTTAATGAATAAGTTATGAAATTCCTATAACCGTGGAGGTGTTCAAAAAGATTGGAGTCATTCGACATAACAGAGCGACCATCTGAATCAGCGTCAAGATCAAAATCCAAAGAGCCAAACTCCTCACTTTCCAAAATACCCTGATCCATATCGTAGCTTTGATTGTTGTTAATCTGCTCTCCACAATGTGAGCAGACAGGACCTCCTTCGTACTCAAATCCACATGCAAAACATCGCAAGACACTATCAGTTTCGTCCATCCAAAGCCCTTTTTTCTTTACAACGAACATGCCTTTGAATAAACCTTGAGATGATATCCTGTCTTTTTCAACGATTGCTATTTCCTCTGAGCGCTTTTGTTGGTGTTGTTCAACTGTCTCATCAGCTAAAGTTAATTCAGACCTCTTAAAAATAACTTCGACTAGCTGTTTGACCTTTAATAGATGAGTGATTTAATTAAGTCTTGAGTTAGTGATACTTACGAGAAAACTGGGCGCCGGCATAGCTTTTACCTTGGAACGACATTCAGGACAGGACTTCTTGCGCTTATTTTGACCGAACCAGCTACACAGGCACTTGGTGGTTTGTTAGATAGTTAATTTGTCGTTGCTTTATTATGGACTAACCGAGTAGCAATATGTGTGTCCACACATTATCGTCCATGGCTCGAATAATAACTGATCACAAATAGAGCAAGTTACCAGATTACGAATGCTTGTGAGATCTGCTTTGAAGAGATTTGCAAGCTACCAACCTAGTCAGGTCTAGATTTGTTGAAGTGCGATGCGGAAGCTTACATCTGCATTTTTGGATATTTCATGAGCCTGAGCGCCGAATATTGAAGCAGTGGGAGGCATCAATATTTTGGGAGCGCTGGTGTCCATATTCGTACATCTTGCTCTTTCAGGATCCATTTTATCTCCAGCCGATTTTGTGACCGGCATGTTAATGATTTTGCCAGAGGTGCAACTATAGTGGTGACAAGTGCTTCAGATATCCTAGTCTTTATTCTCTAGCACAGGGTGGCAAACAGCACAGGGCAGCATTAATTTCACAACCAGTCTCGTTGGATAACCTTTGGAAGATCAAATATAGTTGCAGAGTGTATGATTGGAAATTTTTATTGGTTCCATTGGATCTCATGGTAGCAATGAGCGCTTTTGGGGCGTAAATAGCTGGGATGTCTCTCGAGTCTAAGCGACCTTTTGTCTATACAGGTGCTCAGCCTGATCACATGATCTTCCATATTTCATGATTAACAGCTATTGTTATAAGATCATCAATTTTATCCCGTGTGTGATTGGTGTGTGTTTTATTTATCGTGCCAGGCTTACACCCTCCATCCAATGGACATGACACGTATAGAGGACATCTAGAATACAAGTTCCTCCATTCTCCAGCAAAGCCCATCCAGTGCCTGACTTTTCCAAATGCGTGCCTCACGCTAGTTACATCGGGTCGAATAGGTAGGAACGCATTCACCATGATCCTAAGACCATGTGTTGAGGGGAAACCTTCGTGGGAAAACCTCAATAATTCCTCCTGTACTCTTTCACGACGAGCAGCCGTAGTCCCCCCTTAAACAGGCCGTGTAGGAATCCAACCTACCACCTCTAGAAAGCACATCCAGCACCCGACCAACTGTGCCAACAGCCTGTTGAAAATCACATATCATTCTTCTCATATTCTCCCCTGCATTGCTCTCAACCCCCATTTGACAGGGCTGAAATTCCGAAATCGAGAGCTCAAAACCGAGGCATCGGAGCCCCAGCTTTTGTCGTTCATTGTTCATTGTCTGGGTGAGGCTACTTCGTTCGCGCCGTCTTTGGAATGTGTCTAAAAGTTGACAATGTTGATGCCGCGGTCGAGGTGCTTGTCTAAAATGAGGCCGAACAATTGCCCAGTCCTGCACATAATGTTAGTAAGGTTGAAAGCGAAAGGAATTTTACCTTTGATTTTGGAGGGTTGTTGGAGAGACGTAAATTCATCCAAGTCAAACTCAATCGGGAAGTTGTTAGAAGTCTGAATAGAAGAGGCCCAAACTTAAACTTTTGATCTATCGTGCCGGGAACGGAACCTAGCCCATGTGTCAATCGAAATCGACTGGGCCACGCTTAACAGGCTGCCGTTGCGAAGGATGTGATTCTTGGCTATCCCAGATATGCAGAGCATACTGAGCGATTACACCGGCACCACTGGAAGGTGAAGAATTCGACTTTGCCAGCAATTTTATCCCGTGTACCTTCTTGGAGATAAATATAAATCAATCAGCCAATTTATCATCAAATTTTTAGTGGTCTGAAACAACGTTAAACAAAAATTAAATAAAACTTCTGTGATTAGCAATCCACAGTGAGAGGAGAACGAGACTGAATTCCTGTACGCGGTGTCCTCTACAAGCATGGGGGTGAAATATTATCTCAAAGCTAAATTCAGTCATATTTCGCAACACCGAAGAAGCTGGACTACGGGGCAATTATACAAAATACTTGACCATGTTAAATTTTTACTCCCGACCAGAACGATTTCTACTTAAGTCTGATCAAATCTACAAGTATATCCTCATTTGAATAACTTCACCTCTCATCAAATATTCTCAAGCTTTAGCTGGACAACAAAAATACGCCCACGACAATACGAATATCACTCAAAGGACAAAAATCGTAGCGCACAAATTTTGGAGGTAATTCTTTGGGATGGACGTGAGAGAGATGGGGAAAATTTTATAAAATGACGCAAAGTAAGTGTCGGGATACTTAAACACGGTGCAAAGAATGTAAACTGTATGTCACGTTTCTGCGGTTGTGTTGGTGGATCTTGTCTATTCTCCTATTCTACAAAAAGATACTAATACTCATAATGAACGCTGACTAATCTATGACTAACATTGGAAAGTGAGGTCAGGACATTTATACCAACAGTAAGGATACAATTACGACGGCTGTGAGACTTGAGATCTTGGCAAGGAGATTTACAAGTTTAAGAGCATTGCGCGCGCCAATCCTTCGCTTGCGACAGTGTAGCTAACACTATAAAAACAAGCAAACGATGGAAGGTGCCGTGGTCCGCCTCTTGGCGGTGTTCTCTGGTAAAGTTTGAGTAGCCTGGATACCTACTCCACTTGGGAAGGAGACACCTATACTACATATCTCGTGGATAAAATTTAATAAATGGAGGCTTGTCTGGATAACTCAGGGTTCCTGAGACGTTCCCCTGCGTGGGTATTTGTGAATGGGGCTTGACTTGGGGTGAAGAAAAAGCCACTATAACTTCACAGTGGTTCTTGCAAATAAAACCCAAGGCATGAGTGCTCCTCTTGTAAATTGTGTAATCTATTATGTACTTTTCTTTGATATTGTGTCATAGCTAGATAGCTGCATACGCAATTAAAATCTAATGCAAAAGAACAATATATAGTACGGCGTGCGCGGCAGGCAGGTCTTGGCCCATTTATAATATCTCGGGCTTTTCTAAAAGTTTCGGCACGTCGGGTAGTTTATAAAGACTGAGCTGGCTAACAGGAGACCTTACGGTTGTTTTGTGAGCTAGCACGACTTTAAATAATAATAATAATTTAAAAAACCCCCATTAGCAGGGCCCAAAGCAGTATAGTAGTTCAGATAGCAAGTGAGCACAGTGGTCTCAATTTTTATCTGTATCGAAGGAATGTCCCCGGAGTAATTAATCCAAAATGTTATTGTGGATATCTGTCTGTAAGAATTCCAGAGAAACACCTTAGGCAGGGTTCATGGTTTCCTTGTTTAACCCCACTGGTCTTTTTTTTCTTTATCATTTAATGTGTATGCAGCTATCTAGCTATGACACATGACCGGTGCTATGTGTACATCTTCGATGACTCTTTTGACGTTAGAGACACTCATACTCTGGATTTTATTCGCAAATACCACTACGAGGTATGCTTGCTTAGACAAACAGCTGACCCTCCTCCGTAAGTACCCACCAAAGGGAATTTCAAAACCTCTGGTTATCGAAGCATGCCTTCATCATCCATGCATTCCGGCGCCGCAAGAAATGTGGTTGTGTTTTGCCGGATTTGAACCAGCAATCTACTGTCTTGAGTGGGATAGGTGTCCAAGCTATCCAGACTCTACTTGGCAGACCGGCCAAGACGATGTACCACCGCACGATCCAACCATGGCAGTGTTTACAGTGTCAGCTGCACTCTCGCAACCGAAGTCTTGGCACGCACAAAGCTCAATTGGTAAAACCTCTGTGTAAAATTTCGAAATTTCAAGCCCATCGAGACTGTATCCATCCTGTGCATCATCTTGTTAACTTGTCCTGAATCCTCTCACGCCAATCCCAAAGAATAGTCTCCCAGATTTGTGCACCACGCTTTGAGTCCCCTGTCGGGTATAAATATCGGCGTGGGCGTGTATTTGGTGACCGGCTGAGGCCAGAGAAAGTCGACGAGAGGTGTGATCATTGTAGTAAGGATGTACTAGGTCGTACTTGTAGTCTTGATGAGGCTTAGGTAGGAATTGATCTCGTTGGTTGTGAAAATTTGACGTGGTAGAGTAGTTTGAATCATTGCCTCGTGGGCCAACTTCATTGGTTTTACAAAATTTGACTGAACTTGGCTCTGGGAGAATATTTCACCCCCAGGTTTGTAGAAGAGAGCCACTAGTCTTTATCGGTCGGCGAGGCGAGATGATATGTGGTTAGATCGGGATTGAGGACTCAGAAGATAATGGTGAGTGCTGCATGATTGAGAAGTTGTCAAATGGGGATATACTTGATAAAAGTTATGTAGATGTTGTACAACTGCACTAAGCGTGCGTCAGGCATCAACATGTTCTGGGTAAATAGTGAATGGAAAAACCGAGCACGTGATACAATCTCAATGTATGTTGTGCTGAGTAGTTTTTTTCATTAGGTAGCAACAAGGTATCAATTTGTAATTACATGAAATACAGTTCCGCCTTTATTCTGACCCAATTGATCATATCAACTAAATGCGTTACAATTTGTCATAACTAAACTGATATGTATGTGCTTGCTTTCGACTTTGGTTCGGATGCAATTCTTCTTGGCTATCCCATATATGTGGAGTATACTGAGCAACTACACCGGCACTACTGTAAGGCAAAGAATTAGTCTTTATTGGCGGGATTTTTACTGTGATTATGAGCTTTGTGGAAGTCAAATTGCGGAGTGATGAGGACTGGATGATGTTATAATTAGTGGTTGACAGTGAATAGACTCATACAATATTATGCTGTAGGTATATGGACAGAAAGTATCAGACTTAAGCCTGTATCCATTTATTGTGGATACATCTTGTTGGAATTTCGCACCAGTTGCTTACTCTAGAGCTACACAATTGTCGGTGATGATCGGCAAGGCTGCTTAGGAATAACTTGGCGCACAATTGCACTAGACTGAAATTGGTTTTAGCGTCAGACAAAGAACACGAGTAATATGTAGAAACCTAGATGTAGCATTTCTTTAATATTCTGACCAAAAAAAAAAATAATATAATAATAAGAACGATTTACGTGAATAATTTATTTGATTGAACTACTACGAAGTACTTTGAAGCTGTGCCTATATTCTTTGAGTGAGTTTCCTCTTAGAACCCATACACACTTTACAACAGATTATGAGACCAAGTTAGCTACCAAACTACTTGAGTTTAATATATTACATCAAATAAATAAATCCGACTTTTAATATTATTATAAAATTATTTCTTCGTGTAAGGATTCCTCTTCCGATCTTTTCTTTAGGATATAATTTTACCTTTCTTCATATGTTGCTATGACAACAGGACAGTTCTTGGCACATGGTATCATGTTGATATTATGTTAAGGTCTATGTTATGATGAGCTAGTGAAAGGAAGGCAGGTATATATATAATGGTTTGGTCTGTAGGCATAGAGTTCTTTACGCTTAGTCTTCTGTCATAACCACCACCTTCGGA